ATTTGGACAACTGTTCCTGGGAAGATATTATGTAACCTATTAACTGGTGATTTCTTACTGTATATTTTTTTCTTAAAATACTGTATTATTTGTACCCTTTTACTGCTTTGTTTTTTATGTCCTTTCTTTTTTTTTCTCTTTAAATAAAAAATATAGATAACCATAATACTGAGTTTTGTTGGATCATTGAACAGAACTGTTTGGAATCTCACTGTTTGAATGTCCACATTATATGTTTTAATTTTGTAACTTGAACACTTATTTCTAAGATGACAATATGTAATCTATTAACTAGTGATTTCCTACTGTTTATTTTTTTCTGAAATTCTGTATAACTTGTACCCTTTTTATGTTTTTTTTTCTTTTTCTCCTTAAATAAAATTAAAAAAAAGACTTACATCTCTGAATAAGGTGGGAATATGGGCTGGAAGGTGAAACTGGTGGGTCTTCTCCTGTGCCTAGTTAGACATAAATGTCATAGGTCACTCAGACGGTCGCGTGCTTTATCAGCTAGAGTTCATTAGAAGGACAGCTTTAAATAGAAGGATGTGCTAAGTAGGCTAATGATGCCTGCCCAAAGAGTCAGGAATGGAAGACTGTAAAATAACCATATGTGAGCATGAGAGTAGAAGGATCCAGTTGAAAACAAATCACTTGGAACTTGTTATGGTGTCCAGTGGGTTTGCATGTTGGAAAATGTAATCGTTTGATCTGTAAGGTTTAGGAATCTGCACAGGTTGCATGAAAGAACAAGGAACATTCAGTGTCAACACTAAAGACTGGATCTCCTCTGAAGACTAAGTGTCATCTTCATTCTTTCCCTTTTTATTTCTTACAATATACAAGCTGATAGGGTGGTGCCACCTGCATTCAGCAGGTATCTTCCCCACTCAGTTTGCGGGATACAATAATTCACAGACACAGTCAGAGCTGTGCTCTACTAATCTCATGGACACTTCCTAGTCTACTTAGGCTGACCTATCACAATTAACAATCACATATGGGGAAGTTAGGAAAGTAGGTGACTGGTGGTTTCTGATTCTTTTTGTTCCTAAGTGTCCAGATCCAGTTTACAAGCGCAGTATTTAGTACCTGGCCCTGAGAAGCTCTCACAGACTATGCCCATCCAGAATGGCCTCCAGTTACTACATCACACCTATTAACTGCTGGAGATGGATTGATCAGAATCTAAGGAAGGCACTGGTATGAATGCAGTATAGAAGACATGATGAAAATTCTAAGTAGAATCTATCTCTCAAGGGCCACATCTCCACCTGCAAAGACATCTTCAGGAGTCTTCATTTGTACGAGATCTGTAACTACTGAGGATACAGACACACACTACTGTCCAAAGACACTGTACAGAGACACTGATGTAAGTGCAGACAGGAACCTCCCTTCAGGAGTGCACAAGACAAGTTTATTAAGTGAAGACTTAAATAATTCAGGGAACCAAATTTATGGTGAATGCAGAGAAAAAACCTGGAGATTTCCTTTCTGGATGACTAACATGCATGAACCAATGATGTTTTCTGTTTTAGATTTGGATCCATCTGTACTCAAAATCTAAATGTACTCAGTCGTGTATACTTTGAGAGGCAAGTGATCATGGCTGTGTGATGCTCCTGACTGAGTTAGTGCAGGGAAGGGCCTTAAAGCTGTCTGCAGTGTCAGAGGTAAAGCCTCTCAGGGTGAGGTGAGGCACTCTGGGGTTGCCTGGAAAGGAATATGTACTTCCTTCTCCCTTGGTCCCATTCACTTCCCATTGTCATACTGTGAGGTAGCCTCCTTTGGCATGTCACTATGGCATGCCACCCTGTCTTGGAACCAATGACCATGGACTTAAAACTCTAAAAGCTGTGCCAAAAATGTGGGTGTGGAGAGTGGGTCCTAAAGAGTGTCAAATTATCATGCTTGGTAACAAAGGATTGGCTTTCTCAGCTAATGCAGGGAAGCCAACATCACAGAAGTGTGTGTAGAAATCCCACTGGCACTGTAAATAGGGAAACGGCTTCATCTGGCAGGATAATCACACAAGACTCCAGGAGCTCTGTGTCCTCAACCCTATTGATATACTGACAAATATCTCCATCCATGACCTGGATGTCACTTATCCACCAAGTCATACATTTGGAAATGCACATCAACAGCTCATCATGAAATGGAAGAGGAGCACATGTGATCAAGGCAGGGCAGCACCAGGAGCACAAGCAAGACACATAAAGAAGCAGAGAAAATGCACACAGGCTCCTCTCTGTACTATGCATCATTTAATTTAGGAGCACATAACTACGTCCTCATGGAATGTACTACATGATCAGATGTAGAGGTAGAGAAAATGAGGACCTGTTTTACAGATAACTCGAAACATTTTGCAGGCACCACACACACATACAAAGCTGCAGAATCACATCCTCCTCCCAGGGTGTCCCTGATGGACAGTGGTGAAGTGAAATATTCACAATGGGCAAAACACTATGAAGTCCGTGAAGGATACTTAGTAGTGCATTTTGTCAGGAAGAAAACACCACCAGTTATATAGATACATACTGATTTTCAGCCTGTAGCCAGTTGTTTCACAGGATCCACACAGATTTTAAGGAACAATGTTTTCAACCATATCTGTTGCAGAGGTATGTGAATTGACCTCTCCATACAGGCAAAAGATATAAAGGTATTTGCATTGCATGTAAACAATCACCTAGAAGTGACATAAGCAGAAGAAGACTTCAACAATGAAGTGGGCTTGACATCCTGATGCACACCTGTAATCCCAGAACTCAGGAGCCTGAGGCAAGGGGATTACTTCAAGTTCTGAGTTCAAGAACAGCCTGAACTGCATTGCAAGACTTGTTCAGTAACCAAATCCTCCTGCTCTTGCTCTTCATCATCATCATCATCAACATGCAGATAGGATGACTGGTTCTGTGGAAAAAGTCAACCATTTGTTCAACTACCCCATCACTGGCCAGGAGATTCAAGAACAGTGTCCATGGTGGCAGGATTGAACCCATGATGTGACACAGCTCGGGAAATGATATCCTAAGAAATTTTCAGCTGTGCTGAGGTCAGCTTAACCTTGGCTTCACTTTCTGGATGCTGGTCTGAAAACTCCTGATGCATATCTTCTTCCTTTGTGAGATGTTTTCCTGGCAGAGCCAGACAGCTTGGATGAGCACACGGAGGAGAGGCCCAGGATTCTGGAGCAGTAAAGCAGGAAATATTTTGTGGCATTGCTCTGCCTAATTTGTGTACATTGCAAGGAAAGTTTTATTAAATTCTACAGGTTGAAGTGGATCCTTGAAAAGGTTGAGCTCTATTTTGTCTTTGTTGTTTAATTTAACCTTCTTCTTGGACTTCAAGATAGTGTACTAGACAGCTTACCAATGGGACTCACATAATTTGCAATTACAGTTAGTAACACTACCTTTGTGGGCTCTAGTTATATTATCTGATTTTAAAAATGCAAAGTCTTCTCTGTATGACCTGAAGCTACAGAATGTAGAGCATCTGACTGTGAATGATGACCAGTACTACTACCCATGTGTCTTCCTCCATCCATTCAGGGTATTCCTAAAATGATTTCTAACAAAGTTCTGCAGCCTTATATAAGACTATCTTTGCCTGGTTCAGCTGGCCTTGTCCTATCAGGGCGCATGTGACATCACAGCACAGTTTTTGGGTCCCTTCTGGAAGAACTGTTTTCTCTGCATCCACTTTTCCCCAACTGCATGGAAGTGCAACACTGATGATGGGTTTCCTTTACTCAGTCTCCTCATAGTCTTGCTTGGAGATTTGGATGAGATTTATATACACAGCTTAGCATTTATCATAGTGTTCCAAATGGTACAGAATTCCTGCTTATTTATTCAAAGTATTACTTTTCTTACATGGTGGTGGGGACCAGAAGTGGGCGCTCAGGGCCAGCAGCAGGAGCACAAGACCAAGACTAGGGGGCTACAGGAGACCAGGACAGGGTTATCAGGACCAGTTTGGAAAGCTGTGGACCAACACTCGGACCTGGGGATCATCAGGGAACCACGAGAGGCCCCATAGTTGGTGCAGAGAAGGAAGCTCCGGACTTAGGCCTTCACAGCTTTTATTGTCTGAGTTTCCCCTCTGTCTTAGCATCACACACACTGCGGAGAGCGCACAGTGACTTCCTTCCAGTTCACAGGTGAGGTGTCCAGAGTGGATAGAATGGGAGGGATTTTGGTGTTGACAGAATATGTTTACTATATTGTTCTTCACCTGACATACAGAAGGAAGGCTGCAGCAATATACATATTCTGGAAAAAAAGTATTCAGGTCTTGGGAACATAGATGCTTTGAGACAAACATTTCTCATGATCACCATGCAAAGGTAGTCTTCTATTTTTGTCACCATGAAGTAACTGTCACATACAGCCATAAATGTTTCAGTTTAGGAAAGAGTAAAATAAAAGTATTTACAGGAAGGGAGTTTTATGGAAAACGACAGGAGAATTTATTAGCATATACACTACGGTTAGCATCTGCAATCCTGTGAAGTTACCAAATTCACTAATTACATATTGGTGAGAGTAAAAAAGACATGAGGTTACACAGAGGAAGAAGTCATGTCTTCTGTATATTAGGGATATTACAAAACAAATCTCAAAACACTCTCATGTGTTTTGACCCCTTCCTTCTCTGAGGCTTACACCACAGAGCTGCCCATATATACAGGAGGCCATGCAATTAGTGTCTCTCTGTGCTGATAAAAACCAGGCCAGCCCTCAGCCTGCAGCTCTGCAGAGGAGCCCAGTCCTGGTGCCAGCTGTTCCCACTCAGTGATCAGGACTGAGCATAGACGGCTCACCATGGAGCTGGCGCTGAGCTGGGTTTTTGTGTTTGCAATTTTCAAAGGAATTTTCAAATCCTTTAGAACAAAAGATGCTAAGGGTACCAGTGAAAATGCATAGGTTACACAGTGGACGTGTTCGACAGTTAAACTAAGCAGGACATCTCTGTGTTTGCAGGTGTTCACGCAGAAGCACAGCTCATAGAGTCTGGAGGAGGCTTGGTGCAGCCTGGGGAGTCCCTTAGACTGTCCTGCGTGGCCTCGGGATTAACCTTAAGCAATTACTGGACAGACTGGGTCCGCCAGGCTCCCGGGAAAGGGCTGGAGTGGATCTCAGCTATCAGTAACAGTGGTAGCACATATTTCGCTGACTCCGTGAAGGGCCGATTCACCATCTCTAGGGACAATGTCAAGAATACGCTGTATCTGCAGATGAGCAGCCTGAGACCCCAGGACACGGCCGTGTACTATTGTTCAACTGACACAATGAGAGAAACCTCAGTGGGAGTCAGTCATAAACTTCCGTGCAGGGGCGCTGAGGACCAGCAGGTGTCGCTCTAGAACACAGCACAGACTACAAAAGGAGATGTATTTTACCATTTTATTTTTGGGGGGTTAGCTTTATGACATTTTAAAAAATGATGTTATGGGCCAAAATAAACATCAAAGAAACAAATTTTAAAATCGTAAATACATAAAATATCACTAAACCTCAGACTAAAGATTCATTATAAAGCCCACAAAAGCAAGAAATCTAGTGTAACAAAATTGTGTAATACAGTTTGCTATTATCCATTATTGAAAGTGTGTTTTGCATTTTGTTACCTTTACCCAAAAACATTATTATCTTTTTCTGTGTTTTATGTTGTAAAACAACTTAGTAAAATACATTATAAATTTGTAAGAATGTCTATAAATACGTCATCACACATGTCTCTCACAGATAAAATGCTGGAAAAATGGACAAAAAATATCCATCAGGTGATACAAGTCACATTTCCACATACTCACAATGAAAAATCATATAATACTGTCAGTAAAGGAACTTAAAACTATGCTTTTAGAGTATAATTTAATTCATTAAAAATCATGATACTAAGTACTATGGCATTTAGAGATTTCAATAATTATTGAAAGTTGATCAAAACTTCTGCGAAATATTTTTCTAAAGTATGTTCTACGCCAATGTTACTAGCAAATGTCATGCACTAATATTTATTTTCTTTCCCAAAAAGCTCATGGACAAACATCAAAAATGTCTATGCATAGCAAAGTTGAGATGGCAGTGAATCATATGTTTGTATCATTTTTATCACCTAAAGTGTTTCAATGTTGCAAATTTATTCAATGAAAAAAACAGTATGAAATCAAAATGCTTTTGTGTTTTCAGGTGTCCGGTGCAAGGTGCAGGTGATGCAGTCCAGGAGGGCAGGCTTGGTGTATCTGGGGACATCCCTGAGACTCCCCATGCCGCCCCTGGACTCACCTTCCGTGACTGCTGGATGAACTGGGACTACCAGCTCAATGAAGGGGCTACAGAAACACACTGAGGTGGTGACACACACTGTGCCGACCCTGTGAAGGACTGATTAGCCATCTGCAGAGACAGTGCCAAGGTCCCACTGCATCTAAAGATGAGCAGCCACAGATCTGGGGACACAGCCCTATGTTACAGTGCAAGAGCCACAGTATGGGGACAGCAGTGTGAGCCCAATCACAAAGCTTCCTGCAGGGCACATACTCTCTGTTTGTCATTCTGAGACAGGGTTTCAGGGTGGTATTGAACTCATTTGGTAGCCCAAGCTAGCCTTGAACTCATAGGAATCCTCTCACCTCAGGCTCCTGAGTGCTGGCCTCATGACACTATGCCCATCTCTTGGTCTCTTTTCAAGGGGTGCATATCCACACTCCACACACCCAGCCTGATCCAGGGTATGTTTTTGCCGCCATTGTCCCACATCCAGAAAATCCATTCCCACACTTGCTCATCAGACCTCTGCTGGTAGGAGTTAGGAAAACAAGATGTTCTTTGGAAGAATAGTAGACCTCCTCATGGCTCACACTGTGCCACTGCCCCTTACAAGCCTTGAGGGATTCGAACCTGGTTACAGACCTAAAGGCCTAAGTGAGTGCTGAGTGTGAGACCTGATGAGTGTCAGCATTATCATGCTTGGTATCACAGGCTGGGTTTCCTCAGGTAAGGAAGGAAGGCCAACATCACAGGCATGTGTGTGGGAATACCTTGGGCCCTGTGAGGAGGAAAATTTCTCCAACTGGCAAGATAATCTCACTAGAGTTCAGGAGTTCAGTATGCTCCACCTCATCTGGGTACTCACAGATATCGCCATCCAAATGCACAGAATCTAATTATTTCTCTTTCAGCACCCTCATTTTTTTATTTCAGGTATCTTGTAAGACTGAGCATTAAATTTATACTTTATGGTGTAGTCAGAATTTACAAGGAAATATGTTTAATACAGGACACATAATTTATAGGATGGTTTTATATTATTTACTGGACACCAGAGACCCAGGGAATCCAGCTAAGAACCGGTACAAATGGCAATGTCCTCCACTAGTCTAGATGGAGGCCTAGAGCTCATGATAATTTCCCATACAAGTCTGTGTCAAGAATCTGCAACGGGAAGGCCCAAAAGGTCAGTGGTGGAAGCTAGAAAGTCTGCATCAGTTGGATGAAGGATCTGAGCTGTAGACTGACGGATCTGCACTGCATCCATGAATCACCTCTCTAAACAAGTGTCTGAGCTCTGCCAAGAAGAGCAGCAGCTGCCTCCATGACAGACAGAACCTGATCTCTTCTGACAAGGAGAGCAGGTGAGTTCTGCCAGGAAAACCACCAAAACAAGCTTCTCCGGGAACATCAGTAACAAACCACCTTTCCCCTCCACTTCTGCTTTTACGTGCTGGCAACAATCCTCAGGTGGGAATTCACATCCAGGGCCATGCTAATTTCAGCCAGATGTCACAGCTGACCATGGTTAATTTAGCGCTATTCATATCAGGAAATAAAACTGTCAGGACTGTTATGGTTTGAAAGGACAAATAAAAGCGATTAGAGTTGCCTTTGGAGAAATAGTAAACCAAAACCAGTATCAAATTCCTGGTGGGAATAGGGGATTTCAGTGCCTCTATTCAAGCTTTAAAAGATGCAGGGCTGCTGGATCCAATCACATTTCTATTTCAGTCTATCTGGCCCTTGCAGAAGATTGATTGTCCCTGGAGAATGGTAGTGAATGATCATGAATTCAGTCAAGTAGCAATTCTAATTGTACTTGATAATTAGATGTGGTTTTTTGATGGTAAGCGTGGTTATGTTTTTTTTTTTTTTTATCTCTTCACAAGTGAGATGGAGCTATTGATGTGGCACAAGAGTTCTTCTCTGTATCAACCATAGTCACAGGGGAAGAAGCAGCTTTCAGAGAACAGCAGTCTTAGACCTGAAGTGTCATGCCTCAGGGTTATATCAACTCTCCATTCCGGGGTCACGAATTACTCCCCAAGGATCTTGATCACCTTTATCTCCCACAAGGTGTTCCTCTGGCCTCTTTCACTGATAATATCATGTCATTTGCAACAATGAGCCCAATTTGGGAAGCACTCTGGACTTGGCAGTAGAGCATGTACTAGCCAGATTATGGAACATAAATCCAGCTAAAATTCAAGATCCCTGCACCTCAGTGAAAATTCTAGGAGTCCAGTGGGACATTCATAGCTATCCCTTTTAAGTTAAAAGATAAATTGTCACATATGACCCTTCATAAAACCAGATGCATAAAGTCGAGTGGCTCAATTTGGATTCTGGCATGAATACAACCTCACTAAAGAGTTTTGCTCTAGCAGTTTTCTAAATGATTCCAAAGGGTTCTAGTTTAGGTGTGGCCTAGGAGGAGAACAAGCTCTGAAAGTGGTCCATGGTTCTGTGTAGACTCTCCTGCAGCTGGACCATATGATCTGGCACATCGAAGAGAATTTGGGTGTCAGTGACAGATAGAGATGTTGTTTGGTTTCTCAAGCAGGGTAATTAACAGCAGAGGCCTTTCCAGTTTTGGGGGAAGTGTGGGTCGTCATCTGAAGATACCTACTTTCCATTTGAGAGGCTGCTCTTCCCTTGCTACTGGTCTCAGTGTAAACTGAAAGCTTGAACAAGAGACACCAGGGTACTTGGCAGTCTAATCTGCTCATTATGACCTGGATATTACCGATCCATTAAGTCAGACAGTTGGAAATGCACAGCAACAGCTAATCATGAAATGAAACTGGTGCACATGTGATCGACACAGGGCAGCCATTGGGCAGAAGCAAGGTATGTGAAGAAGCTGCCCACATTCCCAGGGGCTCCTAACCCTACTGCATATCCTTTAGTTTAGCAGCATGCACCTATGTCCTCCTGGAAGGTAGGTCATGACCAGCTGCAGAGGAAGAGGACACTGTGACCTGATTTACAGTGAATTCTGTGCATTTTGCAGGCACTACATATATAGCGGCAGCAGAATTGCAGCCCCATTAAGAGGGGCTCTGATGGTCAGTAGTAAATAGAAATCATCACAATGAAAAGAACTTCGGACAGTGCACATGGTAATACATTTTGCCTGGAAAAAACATGGCTATATTTGTGTCTCTGTGCTGATTTCTAGGCTTTGGTCAATGTTTTCCAAAGTGAGTTCAAGGACAGCCTGAACTGAACAATGATACCCTGACTCACAAACCTAATCAAACTTCTGCTCCTCCTCTTGTCTCTCTTCCTCCTCCTCCTCCTCCTCCTCCTCATCATCATCATCATCATCATCATCATCATCATTAGCATTATGTGAATAAAATGGAAAGTCAATAATTTTTATCAGGTACTGTCCCATTGCCCAATTGACTCATGAACAGAGTGTCTATTGTGGCAGTAATGGAGTTCATGAGTTTTAGATACATTTTGGAAACATTGCCTGAAAAACATTTTTCATTTTTTCCATGGTCATCTTAAATTTAGCTAAATTTTCTGAATTCTAAAAATTCCTACAGCATTTCTATTGCTTTTGAGAGTTGTTTCAGTATTTTGTCTGGGATTTTGTTTGTTTTCTTTTCTTTTTGATTGTTCGCTTGGCAGATCTGGGCAGCTTGGATCCCCAAATAGGCAGGAGTGCTCAGGACATTGGAAGTGTGAACCTGCAGATGTTATGTGGCACTGATCTTTCTACTTTGAATGCACAGCAACTAAAGATTTTAAAATTTCTATAATATGAAGTTGTTTCTTAGTTTAAACTCTAACCTTCCGTAGTTGTTAATTTTGCCTTCTTGTGGGAATCAAAGACAGTGTGGTCCTTACTGATGGTAACTGTGTTAGTTAAAGGTATAGCTAACTGTCTCACATCTGTTAGCTTGAGTTTTATTTTCTGACTGTAAAGATGCAAAGTCTCCTTTGTACAACCCTGAAGGTATAGAATGTAGGGTATCTGGCCATTAGTGATACCTGCCCATGGGCCTTTCTTCATCCCATCAGGGTCTTCTGAAAATCATTGTCAAATAAGTTCTGCAGATTTCAGTGGGATTCT